GAGTCGGAGTAGTAATGCTCATGAACCCTCCCATCCCGTCCGCGGTGAACGACGTGCGAGCTCTCATGGCGCTTCACCTTGGCAGCATGTTTATTATACAGCTCCGCACCCTGATACCCGGCCACAGCGCCCGCGGCCCCCAGCGCAGCCGAATGCAAATAATTCCTATGAATCTCCTCCTCCTCCTTCGCAGCCGCCGCCCTCCGATCATAAATCTCCTTGCCCCCCAAAGCTAGAGCGGCCCCCGCAACAGCAGCGATGATCTTCTCCTGACGCCCGAGCACACGCCGGCGTCGCTTCTCCTCCGCCTCGTAATACGCATCAGCGTACCCGGCCTTGTGACCCCCTCCGCGGGACCTGCGGCGATCGCGCTCGTAGTAAGCGTCGTCGTAATAGTACTCGGGTTCGGCGGAGCGAGCGCGGCGCGGATCGGCGTAGGAGGCGCGTTCGACGGCGAGTTGGGCGTCGTGGTGGGGGACTAGCTCGCGCGAGGTCGAGGGGTAGCCCTTTGCGTAGGAGGACTCGCGGACGTCGCGGGGGTCGGCGTAGCGCTGGTGGCGGTCGCGGTCATCGTAGCGGTCGCGGTCGTCGTAGCGGGGGCGGGGTGAGTCGTAGGGGTCGTATTGCGACATGGCGGAATGGAATTCTGTGGGTTGAAAAACGAAATAAACAAAATAATGATTAGAGTTTCGACGGCCCCTTGATGGTTGACGGGTTTGGCGTCGATGGGCTTGACGATCGAAAGTCTGTTTTTCGCTTCGAGTTCCTGGGAAGAGCGGGAGGGGTTAGTCCATTTGATCCAGTTTGACAGTCGGACAGTCGGCCAGTCTGGATGATTGCGGGGCCAGTGGCGTCACTCCGTTGGGCTCAGTGTGTTTGGCGTTCCATAGGAGTTGATAGTTTCCAGAGGGGCGAGAGGGAGGGGGCGAACCAGCGGACCAATGCCGGCGCACACGGGTGTCAGTTGATGGGTCATGTACGTACGTATGATATGTATGATCTGTATGATGTGTATGATCTGTATGATATGGAGCTGGCAACGGGATATTATCCCTCAGCAATTATCTGACTGGATATCCAACCAGAGACAATGGGAGGCCCCCCAGAGGACAGACGATGGAGGAGGCACTCGGAACGAGGAAGGTGCTGACACACAAGTCAATGATTGATCTGATGGCAGCTGATGTCAACTGAGCTCACAACAAATGTCTTCGTCTTGATCTGAGATGGAGTCTTCTTCTTGAAGGCGGGAGGTGTGGCAAGTGTTTGCTAGCACATCAACAGAACTTGACTGGTTCTTTGAAGACTTGGGAGACTAATTTCGGGGTTGTCTTTGTTTCTTTGTTTGTTTTTCGATTTTCCAAGTTGAGGTTATACGAGAAATGATCTCGAGGCGGCCTGCTGAAGTATTAAAAGCACTCAATAACAGCCAACACCATTCTTTCATTCCTTGCTTTGCCCTGAGTGACGGCGACGGACGGGCAACTACATCCTTGAAAATGGTACATACATGTGTTACATCCATTCTATTCCCCGGCACCTGGATGAGCCGGGGAGAGAAGCATCGACCAGGCTCAGGTGGGAGCGGAATCTCTCGAACAAGGGCATGTTATGCGTGGGACGAATCGGAGCGCAAGACAATCCCAGAGAGTTACAGGTTTGGTCGCCTTGCCCTTTGGCTTCCTCCGTCGCTCGGCCAAGTTCGACATTGGCTGACCGACGTATTGGCGACTCCCGAATCGTGATACCACTACGAAGCACGGCACGAGAATGCGTTCCCTGTCGCCCTGCGAGGGGCAATCGAAAAAAAGAGCCAAAAAAAGGTCTTCTGTACCTGTGTACAGTAGGCTGTGTACCTGTTAGAATTCCTCCCAACGGCTGGCACTGCCCATTCCCGCACTTGTGCCAAGAGGAGATCAACGGAAGCCAAGGCCATGTGCTCTCAAATCGAGGTGGCTCTGGCTCCAGCTCGGTCTCTCCATTCGTCGATGTCTCAAAAAGCAGGGCTGCACCGGAATGCTGCGACTTTGTGCATCATCAACCACCTCTACTCCGTCGTCCCCCTCCCTCTTGAGGCCCTCGGCAGTGCCCCTGCGCGCCTCACTTTTTACTTTGTCCTACAGTTGCCCAGGCTATTTGGCGTGGGGAAGAAAATGCCTTGGTCATGCAAGAAGAGAGGCCCTGTTCCCCTCGGCGCGTTCCCCATCCGAGTTGATGCTTCTGACTTTACAAAGTAGATAATTTGCCAATAAGGAGTGACGTGTTACAATCTACCACTACGTAATATTGTACTTTGTATGAGTCCCCCAACCACCCTCCTCTCGTCCATTTTCGCATAAGAAGAGGGGAGGTAGAGGGAGGAAGGGTGTGTAGTGTACATGCATAGAATCTTCCGGATCTTGGGGGAGAGTATCAAGGAGCAGGAGCCTCGAGATCCCGGTCGTGTCACACTTCTCGCGTTACTCACTGTATACCCCAGCCGGGCAAACCCAAGGCACCAGACTCAACGGCCGGTCGAGGCAACGCATGGGAATAGGCTGGCATGGCAAGTTTGGTGGGAGGGAACAACAGTCTTGGGACAAGCCAAAGACGAAAGGCGGGGCAAGATGAGGCCCAAGTTGTCCCTGTCCCTGTCCCTGTCCCATGATGTCATCGAGTTTTGCCCCTCTTCTCTCCTCTTCTCTCCTCTCCTCCAACCTTCTCTCTCAGTCAGGCACCCAAGCTGAGTCTCGCATCACAGGCTTCGCACCATGTTCCATCTCTCACTGAAGTAGTTCACGCAGACTCGGCTTCATCAAGATTCTTGATATTAAGAAGAGAGGGGAGGGATAAAAAGATTAAAAAAACAACCAGCCAAAACATCAATTAATGCAACCCCCCCAACGCTCTAATTTTATATTTTTGTTACTTTATTACTTTGCCTCGAGAGGGGAAAAAATAAAGGGAGGATGAACGTGTGCAAAACCGATATTTTTTCTTTTCCATGCCCTGCTACTCATACATTTGCAGAAGAGAGATTTCTTCAAAGGGGGTTTTTGATAAAAAGTGAAAAAAAGAGCAGAAAGGAAGAAGAAGAAGCAGAAGAAAAAAAGGGATAATGAAAATGCAGAACATGAGGCAAAAATGGGGCAAGAAGGGAGACCAGATACTAGAGAAGAAAAACGAATAGAGAAAGCAAACAAAGTCCCCTCCCCCTACGCCGTTATTTAGGCCGGATTTTTATTTTTCAAAGTGCGTCCTGCTCTGTTCAGAGAAAAGGGGCGAAAAAAAAAAAAAGATGAACATAAAAAAGAACAAGACAAAAACAAAGTCTAAGATTCCTGGCCATTCCCCTTTACCTCCTTGCCTTGCCTCCTTTCCCTAGCCCTTCCCTCCCTGAAATGCCGTCGCGTCGCAAAGAGGAACTTTTCGTTGTCCATTGCCTCGCTATGCAGACTGTAAGGAAAGTAACGTCGTGTGTTTCGGCCTGGGTCTTCGTCTCTACCCATGGACGGCGGCTCGAATCGCCGCCGCGGTCCAAGTCCGGTCGAGGAGTAGAGCGGGCGGCCGGAATAGACTTGTAAACAAAAGACTCGAACAAACATCGGGCCTAAAACCAGTGTGTCGTAGGGCCGATCCAATCCGACAAGAGATCTGGCAAGTCGAGCCGTCCGGAGACTGATGAGGCGCCGAAAGTGAAACGGCGACCAAAGTCATCTTTAATGACCAACCCTGCCGGATCAGTGAGCATATAACAAAGGCATTTCTGACCAGACGTCCCCCTCCCCTTCCTCCCTTGGGCGTCTTTGCGCCGAGAAACGCCAGAATGCTTCTTTTTTTTTGCTGTTTTAATTTTTTTTTTCTCCTCTTGGTGATCGCCCCTAATGTAAGGGATCACGGACCATGAGGGACTGCCTTTCCTTCGTCGATGGAATTCAGAATGTTGAGGCTTCGGCGAATCATCACATCGCTTCCCGGTAAAAGAATCAACGTCACGAACTTGGTCCAAATATCGAGAGATGGAAATGGGGAGGTCCTTATCCTCGAGTCGCGGCTCCTCTGTGAGAAGACAAACACCGGCCGGCGTCGCAGGTCCAAGACCGATCGGAAAACTGAACAGGGAAAAGGCGACAGCTAGGAAACGATGGACCGTACAAGGCCTCGGCCCCGGCCCCCAAATAGACATTCACACACCTGCTGCCATTGTGCCCCCCTCCCCATTCTTAGTCAGGTCAACAGACTGAGAACAGATAGGACGGGCTGGAGCCCGCCACCATCACGTTTGAATACCATCCGTGGGTGAGGGTGCGGGTGCGAGTGCGTTTTGTTTGCAACAACCATGAAACTGCCGTCTCTGGTGCAAAGGGACAACCAAGTGGCAGACACCTATGGCTGTTCCCTCTCTCCCCTCCCCTCCAGGTGGACAAGGTTTCCACTCGTCATATTGCGAAAAACTCTCATAGAGAAGTTTAACCTTTGGCAAAGGCTGGGGATAAAGCCTCTGCTCTGTGGGGAGGAGTGAAAGACGAGTGTGCGTGAATAAGGAATATTGCCTGCATATATCTTCGTGGCAAGGCATGCAATTCCAATCATTTGATGTTCGTAAAAAGCCTGACAGACGCTCAAAAAAATAAAAATAGGAGAGCTTCCAACTGCAACGGAAACAGGTTAAAAGAAGGATGTAAGGGAGAACGTAAAAAAAGAAGATGAAACTTTTGTTGCGACCCCGACGATTGCTATGCATTGGGGTATTATCATCATCCAGGGCGATTAATCTTATAAGGGTGTGTTTTTCAAGGTTTAATACCGAAGACTGGATATCGATATATCGCCCGCCTCGCTGGTGAGCACAATATTCTCGCAAATAGGGCTATGCCGACCGGCTCACTGCTTCCGGGCCCTGTGATGAACGCTCGTAATTTGTGGTTTGTTCTTCCTTTCAAAATTCAAAGACTCCAACACGTTTCGCCAACCACCTTCGCCCCCCCCAGACGACCGAGATGAAAAATTTCATCTTCGGTCTAGGACGATTCTTGGGCGGTAACCTCTCCGTTGACCACGTTGGCAACGTCCTTCGGCTTGGTGGCATCAGCCTCTTCCTCAGACTTGTCGCTGGCTGCCTTCTCGGCGTCGGCAAACGTGCTGTCTCCGGTGGCAGTTCGAGGAGAAAACTCCGGCACAGTAGGCTTCAGAACGGTATCTCGGACGGCTCCGACTCCTTGTCCCTGGGCATAGCCATTCACGTATCCGTGGCTACGCTCGCCTCCGTTGACGTTGTTGGCGAACCGGCCATCTGCCTGGCTGTCGTTGTAGCTACCGTACTGGTTGGGGCCGGCATTGGCGGGCCCATTGGGATGGAAACCTGCTCCGGGAGCCACGTTGGGGTGAACGGGGTACTGCTGACCAGGGTAAAACCAGTTGGTGGGTCCATCATTTTGGGCAGCCTCATTTCTCTCCGCCATGGGAAGAACCCAGTGAGCAGGGTCATTCACCGTTCGGAGGCGCTCGGTGCCATCATCGGCGCTAACGACGAGCTCGACGTCCCTCGAGACGATACAGGCCTGGCGAACATATTGCATAGGCTCCGGAATGCCTTGGAGGAGACTGCTAACACGGTTGAAACCCGCCACGAGAGCGAGTGGCACGAAACCCTGAGAATCCATGTTCTTTCGCAGGTAGATATCGCGGCAGAGGTTCTGGATGGAGAAATACCAGCTGAGCTGGGTCGACAGGGCAGAGACCAAGAATGGGTCCAAGAAGTAACCCGGCGTGGGCGTTTGGGGGTAGCCCATGACAGATCCACCGTGGAACGAGTGATCGCCGTAGTTCATTACGGCTCCCTGAGAGTGCCTGTTAGGTCCATTGTTATTGGACGTCGCACGAGACGAACCGGAGCCGCCGCGGCCGCCGCGGCCTCCACCTCGCGAGGATCCAGGTCCAAACGACTGCGTGAACTGGTTCTGGCGGATGGGAGGACTGTAATGGTTCTGACGAGGAGCACCGTTGGATGCGTGGTAGCCGGCATTGAAAGAGCCGTGCTGGGAGTTGATTTGAGAAGCCGAGCCGTGGTAGTTACCCCGGCCTCGAGGGCCTCCTCGAGTCCGCTCGCCGCGGGTCTCTTGCTTATCGCGGCCATGTTCCTGTTTCTAGATGTTAGATATCACACAAAAAATGGCCGAGAGATGAAGGGAATTGATTGCTGGGATGGAAGAAAAAAAGTAGATGGGCCAGTGACGCATCCGTTGGGGCAGAAGGGGAGGGAGCCTTACATTCGGCGACGAATCCTTGGATTTGTTAGCTCCGGGGACGGAATGCTTTCGCTGCTCACGGGCATTAGGCGTGTCAATCGATCCACGCTTGGTTGACATGGGAGGCACAGAGCTTCCTCGGGGGAGGGCGGGACCGTCCCGGCCAGCATCCCGGCTCTCTCCGTTGTTAGCCTTGGTCGAGCTCGTCGAAGAAGGGCTTGTGCCCTTCTCGTTGCTGTCCTTGACGGGGTTGGCAGCATGGCTGCCTCCTCGTGTCGTGCCTTCACGGCCACCGCGGGCACCACCCCTGGGCCTAGTTGACTTGTGTTGAGGAAGAGGAGTCTGGAAGTTCACAGTGGGCACAAAGTCCATCTTAACCCAGTCTTTCTTGCCCACCTGCTTTCCTTTGAGGGTTCCTTGATCTTCTACAACAGGCTTCTCTACCTTTTCAACAACAATTTTATCAGTTGACTTTCGCTTTTCCTCCTTGGTTGCTGTGTCAGGAGTGGGCCAGGATGCAGCATCGTCACTGGGGGCAGGATCAGCTCGGCGGGCCTCAGTCTTGTTGTGGTGGGTGCCGTTCTTCCTTGAGCTGTCACTTTCGCCTGACCTCTTTTGGTGGCCGGCATTGACAGTCGATGAATCATTGCTAAACTTGGAACTGTTACTCGTGGTAACCTGAGCACCATTACCCTTACGGACATTCGATTGGGGTGCAGTGGTGGAAGGAGTGGCAGCAGTTGGCTTCGCCGTCTGGTCAGCACTGCTCTGCTGAGCCTTTGCTAGCTGGGCATCGCGTCTCTGGTGCCAAGGGTTAACAGTGGGGATAGGAGCTTCAAAAAGCTCAGGCTTAGGAGGAGCCTCTTTGACACTTTCAGCAGCATCTGAACCTTTGTCGGTGTTGTCGGCACCATTTGTGGAGGCCTTGGGCTTCCTCTCCCTCCTATTCCTCTTGTTCTCGGCGCCGGAGGAGGCCGGGCGCGACTGATGGGATCGGCGATGAGGGCCACTTTGAGGCTTGCCTCCCTTTACACTTCGCTGAGCAGAGAACTCTGAGCTTGTATCGTCATCTCGTCTGGATTCGCCGGACGAAGTACCCAACGATGGGGTAGAGTCGTTTTGCGTCGTGCAGCTAGCATCGGAAACGCTCGGAGCCTTCGCGGCAGGGATATTGTTCAATTCCGTATCCTGGGTCGTGGACTGGAAGCTGTCGGAACGAGGTTCGCTCGACAGAGTGGCAGGCAGGGCTGCGTCATTCGCCGAAGCGTTCTTGGGGGGATCTTGGGGCCCCGTGGAGGGGGAGCCAGGAATGGCAGGAGTGAGAGGAGTGGGCGGCGTCGATGTCGACGTCGCCTTTTGTCCCTTCGCAGCTTGGGCGTAAGAGAATGGCACGGTTGCGGTCGGCATCTTGGATGTCGGAACTTCGGGTAAGAGCGTCATAGAAGGGGGGTTGTGTTGGGGGCTCGGTAAGAGTTTTTCGCGGCAACTGTTTGCGAAATTACCAAATATGTTCTGCGATGAGTACCCAACGGCCTGGGAGGCGTTGGATGAAGGAGAGATTTTGGGCGCGAAGAATCCGCAGTCCACTCCCCGTGATCCCCTCTGAGAGGTTGTCCGGAGAGGTGCTTGGAACCTCCCCGCACTCCGTCAACGGATTGGGGAAAGACCAATCGGTAGGACGGCTATTGCAAGCCCTCGTTCTCTGCTGGATTAATAGACTGTCGTATGCGGATGGTTTCGACGATGAGTGACGGTGGTCTGTTCCGGATACGACGAGAAAGGACGGTTGGGTTGGTCGAGTGGGTGTCGGAGAAAAGAGAGTCGAGGTGAGGAGAAAAAACGATACAGAGGGGCTCAAACAAAGAGAAGCCCACGACTCAGAAAATGGCGGCAAGTAAGATCTGTTACGATCTATTGATAAAGAGCCTCGCTCAATCTGGTCGACAGGCGGTGGTTAAAAAAAAAAAGGTCGCTTGAAAGTGTGTGATGGGGAGGAAGTAGAAAAATTGAGTGTGGTTCTGTTTGGGAGAAACACGAGGGTGTGGAAGAGGAGAGGGCAGAACAAAAAAAAAAAAAAAAAAAATTATGAACGATATTCGGCTGATGGGGAAGGAGGAGACACTAGCACGGAGTACTAGTCAACCCTCGTAGAGAAAGGGAAATTTTGGTGTACCTTGGCTACTACCACAGCCGATAGCTCCGGGTTTCTGTGTGGCCCGAGAAATCAACAGTCGCAGCAGAAGGCAACAACTAAAGGCGCTTGGTGCTGGCAGGGTGATTAAACGATTCCTGCGAGGCAAAGAGTTGCGTTCCTTAGGAATTGGGTCGAAATATTGTTTAAAAGGTGTATGAAGTATGAAGTGAAGAGAGAGAGTAAGAGAAAAGAAAGTTGACTGAAATTAGTTGGAGGTACCGAGCGAGGTATGAAGGTAGGGCGTGAAGAATTAGGCTGGCGGAAAGAAGTGGGAAGACCAGTTGTTGTACTAGTGGTATCTAGTACATCGGCGATGTAGGTGATGGGATGGACAATGGGATGGGACTGGGCGCTGGAGCGAATGGTAGCCAGTCCCGTTGATTAGTCATTAGTTCAATGTACGCTGTATGATTGTATGATTGTCCACCAGAACTTTGACAACACTAGAGCAGCTGTGTAGGAAGTAGGACCTGCTCAAACAATTGTGTGGTCTTGCGTAGTATGTTGGATGTTGGATGTTGGACGTTGGGTACATGAATACAAGAATACCTGAGTACATCGAATGAGAAGACTGGAGGGAAAGAGGAATATCAATGGTGGAACAGAGTTGAGCGTCAACAGCAATAAGAGCACACACAGCACTGAAATGGTTCAAGGGGAGATCAATGATTTGTCTGAAGCAAAATTGGTGTTGATCCATCTTACTTGGCAATCACCATCATTAGCCACACCACATCAAAATCACTTTAATTCAAACCATTCTTGAAAACGTGTTTGCTGTCCGTGTCAATAAACTTGGGGACTTGGATTGACGCTCAATGATTTGAATGCCACGTCCAAGATCAATGGTGGTCGCCTCACTATTACTCACAAACTAAAAGACTAAGTCAGGCGAGTCTGATTGATGGGAAGCGCGGAATATCAATAGGGTATTATGCTGAAAGCCCGAAAGGCTTGGGTACCCCCGTACCTCGGCCAGAGCTCGACTTCCCTCGTAGTATTATTCCGCAATTGGAGAAAGTACGTCCTAGAATTGTACTTCCCTCTTGGAATACCTATTAAAGATCACAAGGGGATCATTGATCTGCTGCCTCCTTCCCAAGTCATTGCCTGGCTAAGTTGCCTCGAGGAAGCGTTGATCACAGTTGGAAGTCGCAACTAACTCGATCTTTGTACTTCAGATTTTGTCGTTGATCTCCGCGGGGAAGGCGCCGCCCTGAGACGTATTACTACTAAGTACGAAGTAGTAGTATCCCACATGAACCTTGACCTTTTTCAATGTCACGAGTCTGAGAGTTCGGGGATCTGTGGATTTTTTCATGTGTCCGTGATGAGTAACAAACGGGGTAACATAGAAGGCCGGGCATTGCGGCGTGTCATGTTTGTCCGAAGTATTTCACAAACCTCAACGGGCGACAGTCTCTATTATTAGTGGAGATTCTGCTCGTTCTGCATCGAGAACTTCGGGAAATATGTATATATAAATATATCAATACGAATTGGTGTAATGATCCCTGGCTCAGTGCTCCTCCAAGATGTGATACATGTATGCTCCTACAACGCCAAGTATGACATCAAGTATGATGCCTTACTCCTCTCCTGGTACCTCGCCTCGGCAAATGCCAGCTCGTACTAGTTTGCGCCTGGTTGAGCTTCATCACTGGTCGAAAAAGTTGAAATAGGAATGTCGCCTCGTGCTTGAGCACAGTCACACACGGCTCGACGATTCGATTTTTTAAACCACGACGGCACAAGACAACACCAGAGGACACTTGACTAGCAAAACAAACAAGCTTCGTGACGTGTTGGTAAGAAGACCGCACACATACGCACGCCTCGCCTAGCGCTTCGATCTCCGCGCTACTCTACGCCAGTTCAAGATCTGTCTGCCTAAGCTCAGGGATGTTAGAGAGCTTGTGAACCCAGCCCTAATCAAGATAGCTGGAGCTGGCTCTAAGAACACATCCGTGTCGAGCGATAGATGGCTGGATTTATGATTGGCGAGCATCTACGGGGCTTGCATCGCTTTTGCTGTCAGTGATTTGGTCCTGGACGGGAGTGGGAACGGACAATGGACTGTGGGTGACAGTCCGCCATCCCACCACACTGATCGAAATTAGACCCTGTTTTACGTGAGCCAATTCAAAGCAAGTCCAGCGTCTACTTCGTAGAGTCCAGACCCATTGCCCCATCCCAGCCCCATCTCCCGCTTCTGCTTGTGCCCGGCCGGTAACCACACCAATTAATCCAACGAAGGCCGTGAAATAGCCACCCGAGCTGGTAAAAAACCAACGACGAAAAAAAAAAGAAAAGTAACACGTCGCATCAGGTCTCGTTGGGCGACCGGTCAGAGCAGAGGATACCCTCCCTCAGATCCCCTTCCTCGTTCCCTTTGGTATTCTACCGAACCTGATAAGTGGTGTCTTCCGATCCGCTGATCCGCGGAGGGAGAGATGATATGCTGTTGCCTTGTCCCGGTTGCGCCCGCCCTCCTTGTCGACTCCTGTCCGTGGACCCTTGAACCTCCAAGAAGAGCTCTGTTGAGGTAGTGTCCACTAGGTAGGGGTAACCTCTAATAATATCGCAATATCACTGTACTGTGGGAGAAGGGTACAAGTGCCATAAAACCCGTGGCAAGTTAACAACGGGCCTTCTCGGAAAGACGAATTCCTCGCAAGCGGTTCGCAATTCACATTGCGCAGAATTTTCTCGGTGGTGGATCCCTTGTTCGGCCAGCCAACGTGGTATTAATAACTCATTCCAAGCCCCGCGGCTACGCTACACGGAGGACCAGTGGAGAGTGTCTCCTTCGTTGGAGTGTTCAGTGTACGGACAGACTCCGTACTTGGAGGACCGGGCTGTTCCAGGTTGTCGCCAAAGTCCCACTGGAAAGAGGCCAGAACTTCTCCCAACATATTGATTCTACACTACTGTCTGGCGTCCTGAGAGCCGGCCCAGAGTCTAACTGGCGCTAAAACTCAAAATCCCAAACTACCAAGACGGAACGCTCTGTAAAAAAAAAAAAAAAGCAAGCGCTGTCTTACTACTAGGTGTACTTCGAGGTCGTGTGTGTACCAACTTCTCGAAGACTAAACCGGATATGAATACGGCTCCAGGACGTAGATGTGCCTAGCTATCCGTCTTTCGTAGGATCTTGGAGTAACCCTCGATGCTTGCAAAGGACGCCGGTTCTTATAGAGACTCGAAAGCAAGGAGATTGGGGGTTAAATTAACACGGAATGGAGAGTAAATTGGGGGATTGCTCCAAGCTCCAAGCTCACATGCCAAAGTATACATTTCGCCAAGGCGGATTTGTGCTCATGATATAGTGGAAGGGAGTGGATGTACACAATTTAAGTATTAAAAGGCCATCAATCCTTCTCCCTTTGCATCCGTCGATCTCTTGGAAGGGATTGATGACCATTTCCATTCTTCCCGTTACGAATTCCTCGCTCCGGCTTGGCTTGGCTTTCCCTTGCACGTGCGGATCAGTGACCGTCTGATGTTTACTTCAGTGCTGATCAAAATATCGAGGGAGACCGACATCAGCTCATGCTCTCGGTACGAAGTCAGCTCCACAACGGGAGCTGGCAACCAGCAACAGAGGCTAGTAACTGATGGCAATGGCGACCAGGGCTCATCGGCGACTGTTACCAAACCCCGATAACACCGTTGAATGACAATTGCATACGTTGTAAGTATGTAGACAGAAATGGGCGGCTTGGGTGAGACTTTCATTTCTCCCCCTCACAGGTCTTCCAAGGAAAATGAGGAGTCGCGGATGGCGGAAAGCTTTTTCTCTTGGCTTAGCCTTCGGCATACCTGTGCGTGTCACTGGCCGAAAGTGCGAACTAATTAGAATTTACGCGATCAGTTAAGTGGTACCGTCATGATCCCTAGTTTCGCCCTTTTGTTCGCGACGAGGATTTAAGCTTACGAGTACTGGCCTCCCACCATTCACGGCATCAATCAAATACAATTATAGCTCCTCGTCACCGTCGTCACCATCTCGGTACTATTGAAATCGATAGCTAACACGAAAATATCGGAAGAAATATGAGTCACAGTTGTGTGAACTCCAGTAACTATGGAGGGAGAGAAAAGAGGCAAGCTGAAAATAGACAGCTTAGGCTGTCTCGTTGTTAGCCCGCGCTTCGAAAACGACCTTGGCCATGTCGTTGGGGCAAGAACGGCTATCGTTGCTACCCATGCCCTCGACCATGTTCAACAAAGGGCCTCCCCGATAGTCGCGCAGGATTAGCGACGGTCACATGAAGGTGCCAAAGAGGAGGTACGACAGCAGCGATGCGGAACGAGATGATCGCATTCCAGAGAGCAGTCTCGTGTCGCCCGGACTACGCGGAATACATGCGTGGCTTCGCTCCTGTGTCCTTGGGACCTCGCTACTGCCTTTGCTCGTGATGATTCCATCTGCGATCCTCGTCCGATCCTGACAAAGGAAGTTTCCTTGCCCCCAAGCACCGGCACATTGAAATCAATGAACCAGCTGCGATGCTGAAGCGGCGTGTCGACTCAGGGCCTGTTGGAACACATGATGGACCCTAGCTCTGATGTTGGTGGCCCGCGTAGCCACTACTAGCTCAGACACCATGGTGGCATCTTTTCAAGAGAGCCTACGACAATTCTGAGGCTAGCGAGCAGCTTAGAAGAAGGGCTGCAACGGCGTAATTCCCGTGGGCTAATCGCCACCGCCAACAGATAAGGGCAGAGGTGTACCACGGAAACTAGAAAACCCTGCCAGGGTCTAGTTCCTAGGGATGTGATCTTACTATAATATAGCCAGCCTTTGCAGCGCGTTACTGTACGGAAGGCCCAGAGCGCGGGGAGACACAAACAGAGGCAGCGTTCGATCCCCTTTGTCGAGTTTGCCCGTGTGTGGGACACAGGAGAACAACTTGCTCGCTGCTGGCACTTTGAAGAAGTCTATTATGACAGACGAAAAGCCATCGTGTCTAAGCGGGTGACTTTCAAGCCTAGTGTTCAAAATAACGTTTCTCCAAGGTGGCAACTGTGACATCGACCGTCGACAAGACCACGTATTGTAAACAAACCATACAAGACGTCCTCTCTCGGGACTTCCGCGTTCAGGTTCCCACCGCGGCACATGGGCAAGAGCAAGAGGAAAGACAATCTCGATACAGACATTGACAGGAAAACAGAACCCAAATCAGGAAGCTCCATTCAACGGCTGAACAAAGTGTGGTCAAAGACATGGGAACACGTCGCAAAAGCCTAGAGGCCTATGCCTTCCCGGTTCGCAACCTGTCCAAGTTTAGGGAACTACAACAGTTTCGTTCTTTCTAAGGAATAGCAGAAACTGTTAGCGGAACCCGAACGCTCTCGGAAGGTCCACGGCCCTAAATCGAGAGATTCGGAAGGTGGTCGTGCTTCACGTCGAAACACGCCCGCCGCTCCTTCCGTTCATTGTCTCCTTCCCTTTCCCCTACCCCAGGGTATCAAGATCATGACGTCAAGGACGCGGAAGCGAAGGAAGGGACGGGCGCGAAAGAGCTTCAGTTGTAACCACCACCCAACAAAGCTGATGCATCATATCTCAGCCCGTCGAAATCCCACTCGATTTCCTCGACATGTAATTTCTGATGGCAGTGCCCTGGGAGTGAATAATTCCATTTTACCGAGTAGAATTCACGACCACTTGGCGATCCAAAATGTCACATTTACTCCTTGAAGCATCCCTTGCCACATATGTTCCCTTACAAACACGATACAACTGACGCAGTGTGAAGATTCGAGAATATAAACGGTCACCGCCATCGTCTCCGCTTTCGTCTGCGTCGCCGCGCAAAACCCACATCCGGTCGCTGAAATATCTACTGGCTTCCCTTTCGCCATACAGAGCCATTGGTCTCCCCTTCGAAACAGAACTTCTCTATGGCTCAATCTGGGCTTACGCATATCCAACCGCCGTTCACATGCAAAGACCTGTCTGCCGTCTGCCCGCCGGCGGACTGCTTAGTCCAATGAACTTAAATATAGACCTCGACCCATGTAGATTCTTTTCCCTAGAAAATATGATTCGACTTCGTGCTCATTCTTCCCGCGAAGTAGCTGCCTTCTAGGCTTACATGCCCGCCATGACACCTTCTTTTTCGGTTCCTTTTCCATTGAGCCTTCTATTGTGCGTTTCTAGTATCGTTTATTGTTGATCACCGGAACAACGTCTGTCAGTTCTTGCAGGAGCCTTTCAGCGGCCCCCAGTAGGAATTGTTTCATGGCCATTGACCACCAAGTCGCATCCTTCCTATGTGTGGTGTCACGGGCAGAACTGGGAGGCACTTACCGCAATTCAACTTCTATTGACTATTGAAGTTAATTACTTAACTAATGGGTATCAAACGGGAGCAGAAGGCGGTAAACGATCGCTATCTGTTTCACATGCTGATATTGGTTGGCCGCGAAGGTCATTGCCATATACGATTCCGCGGCGATATAGCATGACCTTATTGAACTTCCCTGACCCGGTTCGCTGTTCCAACTCGGCTCTTTGAATGTCGTTAGCACATGTAGCAGCTAAGAACCTAAGAGAGTTGTAAGCCGGGCGGGTAAGTCTTTGAAATAAAATGCTCCACGGCATTCTCTCTCCTCCGAGCCGTCATATTGGAATAGTATGCATACTGTCCACTCCCATTCTCGGGTCCAATCGTATGAATACTGGAAAGGGCGTTCAACCTCTCCACCCCAGATGCCGTGGTATATATTTATTGTCCGGGGAGGATGGTCGTAGGTATGTATAGTTTTCCGTCCACCATTCAGTGCGGATAAAGATGACCTAAGATTCTTCATAGCGCGCAGCATCCTACGATAGGCGTGAGTCCTGATACCCCGACATCTAGCGGAAGACAGCTCAAGCGTAGGAGCGGGCTCCATCTGGCTGTAGTTGCAGAGTATAAACCCGTGTTGCCCATTGATGGGACGCGGCAATGAGGCTACTCTGTAATACTCGAGGAAATCGGCCCGTCTCCTTATACGGTCGTATTCCTCCCAGACGCTCACATGCTGCGTGCGAAAGGGACGCTGAGCTGGGGCAGAGTACGGCGGAGGGTCGGCGTCTTCATTGGAGCCGCGGTTGCGTGCGTTCTTCCAGTGGACGTGGGCGGCGTTGGAGGTGTCCGCCAGCCGCCACTGCTCAGACCTCGTCGTTCCCAGGGCCATGTTGGTTTTCGAGTGCATTCAGTTGCTTCGGGTCGGCGGTGAGGAAAAAAGTAGAAATGACTGGGCTTGGAAAGGGTCGATGGTTCAAGTTTCACAGAACATGCTCATAAGGTTGTTTAATCCTTTCTCTAACTATATACGAAGAAATGAGCACATGATAATTTGATCTTCAGGAGAAAAAAAAAAAGAAAAAACAGAAAAGAGAAATGAGGTCCGATTGTGGGAACGACTGGGATACTAGTGTCGCGAGCTTTCAACCAGCTCAGGGTTATGTTGGAAGGGAGAACACGATAACCTCTATTCATAGGTATGTAGTACATGCATTCTTCACATCGGTTGCTATCCCAGCTAAAGGGGAGATGGAGGGCCATGATGTCGCTCCGGGGATGCGTCCTGGTGAGATACCATGATCCCCCATCCTGCTACCAAGTTGCGGCTCAGACTGCTATCCACTGGCCTCCTCAGAGAGCAAGAGGTCATGGTTCTTGCTTCGAATCCGCCACTTACAAGGCAAGGCTGCCCAGCAAATCTTCCACCCGTTCCGGCGTAGAATATCTTTTCAATAAGAAACACACCGTTATTCCTCTTCCCCCCTCTCCCCGTTTCTCTATTTCATCACACTTCTCTTACTATTACCTTCCAATCGAGCCCTCAACCTTTCTCAGCTCTCGTAGAGAGACCCGAAACCAATCAAGGCACTAGTGGTTTAGTGGTAAAATTGGTCGTTGCCACCCGACGTGCAGCTTCGACTAGCCCCCGGTTCGATTCCGGGCTAGTGCAGAGATACTTTATTTCTTTCCTTTCCTTTTTTGCTTATTCTCTTCTGCGTCTTCACTTGGAGCTCATCTTCATCTTGGAGAGATGGGCTTGGGGTAGGGGTATGTATTTTCCTTTTTTAACGGCTTCGGGGGTGGGAGTCGTGAAGTCTGCCGTTGTGCAGACGAAGTAGATCTAGACAGGGCGGAAATGAGCCTCTTGTCCTGGAAGTTTCTCGCAGTTCGCAAAATTATATTTCCATTTTCTACCCTATCTATCGCCCTGAGGCACACTCTTGCGCACTCATCGCACAAAGTGGCCTCGAGATAGGCCGGGTGAAATGGAAAAAGGAAGAAGAAAAAAAAAAAAAAGGAGGGAAGAGAGAGGCCTAAACCCGTACCAGGCCTCCCGAGTAGCTGGCCAGGAATTTAACCTCGCCTCATCCCGAAATTGAAGGCAAGTCCCGTCGATCCAAGAGCATATAACCGGAATCGCGGAAGACAGATCTGGAACACCCATGGTTGCGATCAGTCGTCTTCTTCATTTTCCAACCGTCCCCCCATTCCCCACCGTGAAGAAGCGAGAGAAGGAGACGGACGGGGTTTACCGCTCCATAGCATAAAATCTTATAAGGAAATGGTGACAGATGCGTCGAGATGAAGGGAAGGGAGACACGATGAGCTTTGTTTTGGCCATTGGGGTTAGTTCTACGACGCGTCATCTGTTTTACAAGGCCTTATCTTCAACATTCCCATCTACGTTCTTCCATTCGCTTCAGGCGAGGATTGGTAACACGGAGCGAGCGATACTGGCAGCAAGGAAGGCAGAAGAGCTTCACCGAGTAGCAAGAAACCAGCATGTAGAGCACGAATGAGGTCGACGATGCTTTTTATTATTTGACCATAATGTAATATGAGCGTACTGTGTATGAGATGCGATATAATACTTCTTGACCACGAATACCTCCTACAAACCGAAAGAAAAGAACACAAAGTCCAAAAAGGTCGCAGAAACGCTATTTGCAAATATACTGTTACTCTTACAATTTTTGCTTCACCCATCGCGACACATCTAAACGGGCATGCACGAGTTTGCGACTTTCCCCCTTCAAGCGGGGAAAAGAAAGAGGCTGGGGAACTTCTAGATGCTTTATCCAGTCATCCAAGAAGTAGCCTGCCGGGTTCCATAGCTGGCTGCGAAGCGCAATCCAGTAGATCCCATGGGGAAGTAACTGACGAGATACCATACCAAGGCGATGATCTGGATGACGGCGGAGATCAAGGTGAGGAACGTGCTGTGCAGCTGTTGGGCGGGAAATGGGCGTGTTAGTGCCGACTGTGCCACTGCGAGATGACCAAGAGATGGCCGGGAGGTTGACATGGAAAACTCACTCCAAGGGAAAAGTAAAACGTAAGGAATATCGACCCGGCGTACGCAGCGGTAAAAGGCAGACGAGGTCCGGAGACAAGATGCTGGAGGTACGCCATGGGACCCATCATAGCAGCGAAAGAAGCCATGAAGAATAGCGACCCGAGAGTGAATCTGCGAATGACATTTCGCGTATATTAGCAAAACGTAATTTCCTTCCGGATCGGGAATAACCTCAAGGCTTTCATGGTTATCACAAGGGTGCTGTCCAGTCTGGTGGAGAGAGGGAAGACGTCACGCGAGGAAAACTCCGGCATGCAGCACGGCTAGTTGCAGCTGAGGCATACAAGATGCATGCTGCAAGGCGACCAGGACTAGCCCGGAAACGCCACAGCCTATCCTTCAGCTGGGCACTACTGGGTTCCCCTCCCATCTCCCGGGAGAAGCGCAAACTTCGATACAAAACGCCTTGGACATTGTCGGTGAGGTATAGAGAAGGCGGGGATGGAAACAACGGAAATGGCGGGAGGGACGGAAGCGACGGACAAAAGAAGCTTCCACACGTGTTCACTAGTCCAAAGAAGAATCGAAAGAACTTACAAAATTATAAACTTCCTAGGCCTGGTGGCCATGATAGGAAGAAAAGTAAAGGCGATTACGAAGCAAGCAACGGACGCCAGGATGCACATGGCGAAGATCATTAATCGGTCCCAACGGCTCACTGCAAGCTACTGTCAGCCTCATGCTGTTTAACAGAAAGATGGAGGCATAATTTGTGTGTTCACATGGGAAACTAAGACAAGGTGCAGCTGCACACATGTCCATCTGCAAGGGTCCCGAGAAACAATAAATGTACGAAATTAGAGGAGGAGGGGGGTGAAAAGAGAGAGAGAGAGAGAAGGAAGGAAAAGGAACCATGACTCACAGGCAAACCAGCCTTCCTCTTCCTCCCTCCTGTTGGGCGCGGGGAGAGGCGCCCCGGAGCTTTCTGTCGTTGGAAGTTGTACATAGCCCCCGTCGCGGAAGGGGTTGAGCGACTTGAGCGATGACAGGAAGCCGCTCTGCTGGGAAGTGTTGACGGGGATGTCAGGATCCCGTCGACTCCAACCCAGCGAGTTGATAGAGTCCCTGAAGGAAGAGGATGCCATCTTTTTTGGATTTGGGACGTAGCTGTTACGTCACTACCCGGCAGATCGCTGCAAGGTATTATTATTAGATATCGTGTGGAGGAAGTGGGAGGTTGCGCTAGGTCTCAGACGGGGTATCGAGTGACCCAGGAAGAAGTTTGTAGCAAAGGGTTGTAATGCGAAAGGATGCAGGGCGTCTAGGTCACTAGACTAGCCGGTCTCCGAGCGAAGTATGACCAAGGGCACCAGTCGAGCGTCGGGCGCAAAAAGGAGGAAGCAAGAGGACACGGGTGTGGGCGCAAGAGGATGGCTGCTATCGGCGAGGATCAACTCGGGAAGGTGGGCGATTCTGTTGTTTGCGCCAGAAAGAAAGAGGCTTGGCTACTCCACAACAGGGAGGGTCAGCAGAGTGCCTTTTGATATAACACGAAGTGCTTGCAACAAGGTGGGCAGGGAGTAACTAGGAGGGGCTCCCATGCAAGGCACCAAGTTAAAGAGAATAATGGCAGCCTGCCGGTAGTTACTGGCCGCGTCGACCCCTTACCTACCGGAACGAAGCAATGACGTGAGGTATGCGTCTTCGTACGCGTCCACCTGAGTTGAAGAAAGCGACGGCGGCAGAGGCGCAGGAAAGACAAGATGTATCAAGGTGGAGGGTTGTTGAGTCCTCCGAAAGGGCCGGCAATTGCTTGGTGGTCGATGGGGTGTGGGCCAGAGGCGTGGGACGATGGCTCGAGGAGAGAGGGCGACGTTGGAGGTGGATTTCTGTGGTAGCGCCAAGAAGGTCGAGGACGGACGGACGGGCGGTCGAGGAGTTGGATCGGATTTTCGCAAAGATCGGGTACTGCCTCGAGGCAGGTAATGGAAAAAGTGGTAGACTAGGGTGTGGTTGATGATCGTGAAGGAGGAGAGGTGGTGGTGGTGTGGCTTGGAGTACTTCGTCGTGGTACGTACCAGCCCATGGTTGGGACGAGGCTAGCAGCTTGTCAAGGGCGTTACTTCGCTATTTCCACCTGGCTGCCTGTTGAAAATTCACTGGGACTGGCTGCTTTCCCACGCATGTCAAATGCAGGTGCCAGGTGCCAGGGATCTGGGGGGCCTTTGGGATTCTGGCCAGTGTGCACAGACCACCACACTTCCGACATTTTTCCTTAGGCTGCGAGATGCACATGATTGGTGGTATGTCTCACTCGGGGGAGGGTGTCCTAACAGTGTGATTCGAGGCTTCGAGAGCACTGTACTGAGTTATGGTCGCTCAGGGAAGCTGGAATGGGGTGCACTTTGTATTCTGAATCAAAATCGGCTTGATGCCAACGTGGTATCTTATTAGTATTCTCCAGGACTCAGATGACAGCAAGAGGGTAAATATATTAGAAATACAAATCCTCATGCCGGTTTTGGTTTACAGACTCAGACCCGTAACATCCCGAACTTGAGTGGAGGTGAGACTCTCAACCCTCCTCTTCTATGCTCGAATGCAGTGATACACCATACCATGGGCTTGATGGTGGGGTCGACAGCCTGAGGGTACTAGTTACCCAGGACGGACGAACCCATCTGAATGGGGTTTGGAGAAGGGGTAGACAAAATCCGTGCTCTAACTGCCAGGCTCTGGCTTGCCTCACCGCTGCGAGTAATACGGCTGCAGCTCATCCTCGATTTATGCTGGTTCGTCTAGTTCCCCACCCCCACAACGAGTCTAATGCAGCGCTTCCTCTGCAAGATGGTCTACACGACACTAGACCTCGCGATAACAAGGTAGATCCTGAGAGACCGAATCAACGAGAGCCATGCTTTGGTAGTGTGCCCGTCATTGGCTGACGTGCCGCCTGTATGTACAGGAGAGAAAAGAGATACATGACGTGAGTATTGATCGCTCTATTATGCCGAGTATTATGCTGCTCTTTGTCGTATTGAGACATGATTCCGTCGAGGGAGGGGGGAGTCCTGGATAGTGGCAGTCCTGGGGGAATCGCGAGTACACTTGCGCAATGCTGTTGGACAGGACATGGCACTATCCCATCCTGGTTGAGGTGCACACCCTCCAACTTCCCGAGCTCATACCACCTGCCTGGGGTCGCAGCCGGCGTGCATCTACAGCGTCGAATGCTCCAATAAAAGATGAGATAACGACCAAAATGGTGATCCGATATTGCTAAGTGATATTCCGTGTACAGGGCGAAGTATGCCCATCTTTCCTGATCCCTGACAGAAGCACGACTCGCTCTGCAAAGGTCTTATTGGGTCCTTGCCGCGGGCGGGTGCGATCAAGCTGTGGAGCATGGGCACCCCTGCCTTGCCCAAGTCGAAAATCTTATCCTAGCACCGCGAAGATGCTAGAGATGGGGGCACATGAACAGCCTTCCTTCGAGGTGGATAATTTCTAAGCTGGAGCTAGTCTACGTCCCGTGCCTTCGAAGGATTGCGCCGTCTCTCGCGGCCCGAGAGTGATCTGCCTCCGTACTCTTAAAAAAAAACAAAGGACCGGATAGAAATCTCAAGGCGGTGGACAGAGCTAGACCCCATGTGGGTGTGGGAGATTCCACGCGAGTGTACTTCGCACAAAGCTCGAGGATGATGGAGGGGAAGAACCCAGGCGTAGCTCCCAACAAGAACAAGAGTGAAGTGTGACATGTTGATACATATGACCTGGTCAAGCTTCTCCAAATCCCAACGGGGTGTGTGTGGGGTCTCACCATAGCCGCCGCCATCACCGCGACGGTGACGGGATCAAACCTGGACATCGTGATGGGCCGCTCTAGGCATCATGAAGTTCTCCCTAGTCCCTTAGCGTTTCGGCGAAAAGTGTACTTAAAAATCATGACAAGGCGTCCTGGTGTCTTGGACTGGCCTGAGGAGAAAGGAGTCACGGGTAACCCTTTCGCCCACCATTTCGAGGGCGTCTTCTCGATATTTTCGAGGCTAGGAGGATATCAGTGTCGCGAGTTTGTAAAAACTACGAGTTGAGCACACCCTCCTGCTCTTTGGATGGTGGTCAAGAGGACGTCAAAAATGACCTCGCAGTTTTACGGATGTCCCGAAATGGAACGTATGGGGAATGCCATGCGAAGGTTTCCTGTTATTGCGCCAGGAAAACGAATCCATACGAAGTATTGACCCACCCGAAGCCATCTGGTCGATAATACGCTCTCGTTCGAGGTGGGAAGAGCGGTGGGCAGCGAATCCTGTTATCGCAGACGACTTTTGTGAAATAACTTGGCATATTGACTCACTTCGAGCCACATAGGGAAGGGAAAGGAAATATTGCTGAACGCCAAGCCCTTTCGCATCTTCCATTCCACACCCTGGCTTACTTTGGCTTACACGGTTGCTGACGATGACGTCGACGTAGTTTCAAATTGTTGCAGACTTCGTCTCGGTTGAGCTCTGCTTCGCTTGGGTGGTTTAGCGGTTTACCCACCACTGCAAGAGCCTCATGCCCCGCATTCCAACCACAGTTCTGTGCCGTCTTCTGCGAAGACCAACTGTACATTCACCCAAGTTGTCCTTGCGGGAGGCTCCGCTGATGCTAAAAAGAGTGATGCTGTGCCGTCCTCGAGCGTAATCCTTCATCGGAATTATATTGATCGATATCGGGTCCTTTGAAGAGGAGCTCTTTGTTCAGAATGGGATTTATAATAAGTCATCAAATGGCTCGTCAGGTAGGAATAAGCGATCGACAGAGGCGGGATACCGTATTACCCTTTCTCGTCTCCCCGCTTATCGTTGAGTGGGACGTTGGTTGGGGGTGTCTGCTCTGCTATATTCGGAAATCCAGACGGGACAGTTGCAGCTCCTTTGGGGTTCACCTGCATTTCATCTCACTGGCTCGACCGGTATATCGACCACACTGGCACAGAGTGACAATCTACAAAACACTCTATCGCAAAGTAGGTTCCCTTCTCCAACTGCCTAGCTTGGAAGTCGAATTGATTGAAGAAGAGAATCGAGACCCGGAGAGGGCTGTGGCTATTAAAAGAAACAGGAAAATTCCCCTTAAGCTGTTTTTACTCGATTGGGGATGATGACGACGGAGTAATACGACGTTATTCAAGTGTCTATGACGTGAGGCGTCAGGGTCGGGGTCGGGGTCGTTGCTCGACTGCCTGGCGCCACTGAACTTGGGCAGAGGATGGCGTTTGGAAGCGGGGGAAAGCGTAACAAAGGAAGGGAAAGAAGGAGGAGAACACTCCTCTTGGTCTGGCCGCCGGGGTTGCGGTGTGTCCGTCGCGAAGGAGCAGGACTTGTTGTTGGTCCGTTCAGACATTGTGGCTTTGCTGTCTGTGTCGTGTCGTCACCGCCTGGTTTCTGCCGACACGCCGACACCGAGTCACCGACTCAACTGAAGGCAAGGTTCAAGGTACTAAACCTTCCCCACCTCAACCGTTCGTTGTCCTTGGGACATTGGAAATACGCTGCATCCAGTGTTGGCGGCATCTCCAACCCCCACCGAGCTCTTCTCCGTGCTTCGTACCTCATGCACCACTTGATGTATATTTGAAATTGCTTTTCTTTCTCCGAGTCGAAAACAAGAAATTGCACTCCTTCCTTTGAACCTTTCGTATTAAGCCAAGAATCCAAACCTGATGGATATACTTCATAAGTCTGGACCGTGTAGAGTCCCCTTTCCTCGAAGACGGGATGAAAAGAAGAGACATGGTCTCGCTGAGCTCGGCTCTTTCAACTGCGAGGTGACTATTTTTGACTCTCTCGCGATGGATTAACACGGTAGCGAGCTCGGTTCGGTGGCTTTCATCCTCTTTATTCTGCGGAACGATATTGCTCTTGTGGAGAAAATACTGCCCGAAAGTAAACGTGGGATTCTGGGAATATAACTGGATTTTTCACTGTCCCACGGTCGGTTATGCCGTCCTACATCAGACGCGATTGTTATTCGGTCTGATGTTGCCACATATAATCAATCAATCAATCAATCCATCATTGATTCGATCAAATGTACGAAGCACCAATGCTTCTTCGTGCTTGAATCCTGTTGTAGCACGGTACGGTACGAGGCCACC